CTCTTCCCCCCTCCCCTACTCTTCCCCTACCTCAACTCTTCCCCCATCCCCCACTCTTGCCCTTCCTCAACTCTGCCCCTACCCCACTCTTACCCTTCCTCAAATCTTCCCCCTCCCCCACTCTTGCCCTTCCTCAAATCTTCCCCTCCCCCACTCTTGGCCTTTTTCAACTCTTCCGTCTTTTTCAACTCTTAGCCCACTCTTACACGTGTACCACCCCCCTCTTCTCCCAATCCTCTTCACTTGGTTTAAGTTAGTGGAAACATAAAATTGTCTTGCAGTAGTGCCTCCTATCTGCTGTAGCGAGTACTGCACATTTCATCACTATGAATGCCAATGCCAACAATAAACATTCTGAAGGATACAAAATCAACACTTTTCAATGAACCCCATGTGACCCTTCTCGGCCCAGGAGGGCAGTAATAACATCTGCTGTGGAAGGAAGGCAGTTCCTTTGTTCCAGATGTTATTATTGCTTTTCTGCAATGCTAGTCATGTACAACAGGTGGTGCCCATAGCAACAGGACTGTTGTGTATAATCTCCTTTTGTTTGTTGTAAAACAGATGGACTTGACATCACTCAGTAACTTCAGTCATTGTAGGTTATTGTCCATGACATTTTTTCACAATTGTCTTCCAAACCAATTTCCCAAGATGGTTTGCTACTGAGACAGTAACTGAGTACTAAAATGTAGTATAATAGTGGTGATGAAAACCTACCTTTAGGGCTTGTACAAGCCTTGGGGCTTGTACATGTACATGTGAAAATGTAGCACCTCCATATCTAGGCTAGAGCAGGTAAAGTTTGAACTGTATAGGCATCTTCTATGTCTGCTTGTACATTACTTAGTATATATGCACTAGCCTGGAATGAAATCATCCGGCAAAATATGCGGAACATGTGCAAGCCAGCAGCAGTGGCCCAAAATTGTGAAAATATTATAGAAAACACTAACTAGCTATTTGTCACGTACGATAGTGCTATGTAGGTTCAAGGTTGTATCATAGACAAGTTAGGCACAGACTCACAATACTAGTATCTGCAAAACTCCAATTTCACACTAACCTGCCCACTAGTATGCAGGTTTTATTTTCCGTTCAGTAATAACAACAACTGATACATGTACATGTACACTCAGAAGGCTTACTGTTACTAGGCATTAGTTATTGCTGGGGAAATCCATTATGATATGGGTGTTATGCATGACTAGGAACTGAAATTAATTTTAAATCCTCTCATCTTTTTCAAACTTCAATGGCGGACCTGTATCGTAATTGAGAAAAGTGGCTTGATAATTGTTTTGTAATATTACACTGACTACAGGAATATTAGATTAGATGCAGTCAGTGTTTCATTTTCCATGCAATATGTACAGATGCCATTTATCTTCCACTTAGATTAAAATAGAGTCTGACACATTGACATAAGCTTGACTAATTGATTCTTACATGATAGTTTCTAGTGCCCTCTTTGTTTTTGCTGTTAGGCATAACAAATCCATTGCTTTGTAGTGAGACTATATGGGTGGTCAATCCAATAATTACATTACAATCATGTACATGTGGGTCTCACCAATTGTATTTTCTAACCAGGAATGCCATAGATTCAAGTCTAAAAAAAAAAGAGAAAGAATGTGATCAAAATGTAAATATTCTTAATCAGGCTATGTTATGAGATCCAGGGAACTGTAAAAATGGTTACAATCAATCAATTTGCTGCATTAACTGTCACCACCTAAAAGAATTGTATCTGCAACTTGTTTGTGAACAGTCTGGTGAAGGTAATTTTTAATGTTACCTGCACTGGGGCAGGTAGGCAGAAAACATGTTTGGAGTCCTGTATACTTAGTGCTAGTAATTGTGCAACAGACAGAGGCACATACTTGATGTAGTTCTATGTCCCTTACATTTCGGTACGTGACGCGGCTGTTTGTTCAGTAACCTTGCTTTTCATTGACTCAGTAGCACTGGACATACAAACATTTACACAGACCACAGCCACATGAATGACCAGTCACCAGGGTGGATTGTTCCTGGCAACTTGGTTGTCATGGTGTTTTGTGTACAGGTCTGACCAACGGAATTTCTGCTGTTATGCAAGTCCTTAGAGCCTATATGTTACTACTAGCTATTGGTGTAGTAGCACTCATGAATAGAGCACACTTCATGAAATTAATGTAAGAAATAATCTTGTCTACAGTTACAGGAAAAGGATGGAAAAAGAACTCACAGACCTACTACAGAATTTCATTATATGAATCCACATGCTTCAACCTTTTAGTAGCAGACTACATGTATGCGTTGAAGACACTGTAACTTTCAAAATTCCTAAAAAATTATATAGGGAATGATTCAAAAGTAACACTTAAAATGCTAGATTGCTACTATATAACAGGATCATTGGGAGTTCAGTAAAATCCCATTCCTTTAATTACCTTTTGTAGGTTTTGAATATGAAATAAAGGTAGTTACTACTGAAGTCTAGTTAAGATTAAGTTAACTTAAATGTAATAAATTTATGGTTGGTTTATTGCTAATATTTAGAAACAATATCTGATGAAACCAATTATCCATCCGTGAAACTAGTTCTAGATTTTACTCTTAAAATAAGTTAAATGACGTTATATTCATTTGGATTGGAAGCAAATTCTGGTCAGAACAAGACTTTTAGTGGTTACAGTTTAATTAATGATTCAAGCTGTTCAACTTTTTGGCTGCCATGAATTCATTCTATGGACTGTTTGAATAACATATATTCCTAACAGATTTAGTTATCAATAATACAAGAGAAGTTCATACTCACGCTGTGCTGAAAAGTTCACCTTGAAGTATCTGTGACAACTCTCCCATGTCATGTCACTCCTCCCCAGACCCAGACAACCACTCAAATGAGGTCGACCGTTTTACACACTTTCTCCTCTCCCTTTTTTCCTGGGCGTTTGCCCGTAACAAAGCCAGTTGGAGGAATAAGTAGTACCCTCCCAGAGAGAAGTGGTAACGGGACACGGGGAGACTGAATGGATTTGGTACTTAGCATACCGCTCGTTAGCAAAGTGCATTTTACCTGGTCCGGGCTGATCCAACTAGGAGTGGCATTGTGGGAGGGGCCAGGGTAGATCAGTGTAGGGTTTGTGTCAGTTTGCAGAACACACAAGGAGGGTGCATGTATGTGTTGCCTGGGTTACATGTAGTTACAGAATCAACATGAGATAAAAGTCTAAGAGGAAATCCATATTGGCAATTATTGATGAAAGAATGAATCATAAATCAATAATACAGTTATTCAAGAATTATTATACAAAATGAAATTCTCATTGAAAATGAATCAAAGGATTCTCCACAAAAGTATTTTAGGTAGAAAGTCTTTGGCTAGCAAATTTTGGTTTGGACATTCCAAATCATAAATGAAAATATTTTCTATTAAAGCAACTTATATAGTGTTGTGATTACAAAATTACATTTTCGTGAATATATGATAGTTTGTAAGTAAATATTGAAATTCCTGCACACATTTGATGGTAACCATGCAGCAGCTATATTCCTGCCCATAGTGCCACGTTTGGTGGGTCCAACCCTATTAGACAAGCCTCCCTTCACAAATATAAAGCCTTCCTCCTCAATCCTGAGCTTTGTTGTTAGTTTCCGCCCTCCTAAATTCTCCAATGTTTTCTTTCAACATTTTTCCCCAACTTAATCTCATTATGGTTCTCCCCAGTACCCTTCAAAATAGACGCAAGGTCGCACCTCATATTTTTTCCCCGATTACCTTCATATCAATTTGCGATTTATGAATTGTTTAATGTCCCCCACGGGACTTGCTCGATAAATCTTTCATGCGTGTGTGTCAGAGCCGTGCAAACGGGCGGTATTGTCGGCGGGATAGATTCAATAAACTCTGTTGTGTTTGGCGGGCTGGCATCCTTTTGTAGGGGAATAAAAAAGATTGATCACGTTGTGCTGGTGCCTGGATACCGCACTGTTTGCTGCACTAGATGGTTAGAGGCTCTCATGGGGTCTTTAGGTATCATTCTGACAACTTTAAGAAAAAGATGATTGATCGTTGGATCTTACAGAAGTTTTAGTTTTTACGCAAGGGTGTTCTAAAGTGTACCGCAGGTATGCAGTTTGGAAATATTCTGTGACTGCAGCTAAAATTTGGGCTCTTTGCACATTACAACTAGAAAATATAGTACATGAAAAAGGATATAAGATTCACAGTTATTACTGTTATATATTTGATACATTAAAGTCATTGAGTGTCCGCCAACTGATGGCATCTTTAATGTCAAAGTAAAAAATTATTTTTAATTTTGTTGAGTGAGCCATTAAAATTTGAAGTGATTTTATCAAAATGTCAAGACCTGAAGAAAAGATGAAAATGAGCCAAACGTTGTGAAAAATATAATTGCTTGCCATCTTTTATTAGATATAAAACTCAAAGCTACTGTTAAACAAAATTACCTAACGTGTGTGTGAACAACACTAACATTACAAGCTTCCAAACCCCCATGATGAGCCCCAGAAGCTTCCCCATACAGTGCCGGGTTATTTAGTGACGGCCAACTTTCTTCTCCTTTAAAAACAGACCCCTCCCCTCCCACTGACAACAAAGGGGGTAATAAGCAACCGTAGCTCTTCAAAATCCCATTTGCCACCGTTCTGTCATCCGTCCGTCCTTCCGTGTCCAGGGGAGAGTAGAAACATTCGGAGGCACTGCCTGGAAACAGCTGGCTCTCCTCCTAACACCTGGTTCACCACGCTGTACTGGGGCATTCCTCTTCAATCTGCTGCTGTTTAACTGCTGGGAAAGTTTAGTTGGCAACGTCAACATTTGGCCTGCTGTGTTTCCCCCGCTGTTTTGCAAACTTTTTGCCGCTCACGTTGAATGGAGATAAGCGTTTGTGAAAGACCGCTGTCACAGTTAATTCTAGTTTAACTGTTGAAGTTTAGTGGCCGCCTACAGTCGTAAAAGTCTCGGCTTTTGTGGAAGGAATCAGAGTTTGCTCAGGAGAAGTTCAAGGGCGGAGAGAAGGCCAGGGCTGGTTGTGGGTTTGGTGGAAAAGCGAGATTATGGCGGACGGAAAAGAAACGGCCGAGGCAATGGACAGTTTAGTCGTGACACGGCACTCCCGAGGGATGAGCCTGATGGAATATAAGTTCACCAAACGGATGGAAAAACAGATTCTGGTTGGTACAACAGTTCTGCTTTTTTCGAGAACAAGTCATTGTTACGTTACCACGACCAGGAGGGCTCGTTTTCTAAATCCATGAGGCTTAATGCGGGTAATTTGTGCCGTTTTCATCGGGTCGATGTTGACAGAATGCTACGGTCGGGAGGCATACAGTACTTATCTGGGCTGCGGGACAAAGGTGTAATAACCCTGCCTTATCTGTGCATTATGGTGTTATCGTGTAAGTCCTCGGTTTCCAAGGGAGCTGTTTTGTTGGGAGGTGCTAATCCCCGTAAGCACTTGATCTGTCAGAGTGAAGTATAACCAACTCAGGATTAAGTGAAGGTTGTGTCACAGGTGGAAGGGTTCACCGTAGTTTGGCAAGACAACGTACATGTAGCAAAAACCTGCAAGCAGAGAGCAGAGTTTGTGTTATGACGTTTTAGTACCCTTATTTTAAAATAAGTAATTTTATGGCATTACTTAATGCACTTAAATAAGTATTAAGTGAAAGGTTATGACACCCTTGTGGCATAGTTCATGTTATCATATTTTTTGTCAAGACAATATATGTGTGGCAAAAACCTGCTAGCACAATAAGTCTGTGAATTTTTGAGTCTTTACATCTGTGCCATTTTATTCAACCATAGACTAACAGGTGTCTTTTTTCATAACCACAACATACTGGTCACATGTCCATGTACAATACATGTAGTACTACATGTATGTACTTGCAACTACTCAGATGCAGTCCCCTGACTCCCCTATACTTATGAAAGAAAACAGATAGAATTCTTACATTTTTTTTTTGTATCACTGTAACATACATTTGAGTGATAATTATTTTTACAAAATTTAGTCAGCCACTTTTGACACGACGTTCATTTACAATGTGATCAATTTAACTTAATATATCTTGATGTGTTTCAGAAATCCCTGATACACCGACTGGTGTACATCGCTCGGCTGACTGGAAACTTGAACGACAAGAGAGATTTAGGAGGTATGTACTGTGTATGTATACATGTAACTAGTAGTAGATATGACTAACAACAATTTTTAACATAGAATTGTGTCTCTCTTCAAGGTTTAATCTTGGATCTACCCGTTATTTTCACCACATTTTGTATAAGTAGCTACATGGCTAAATGCACCATGTACACTGTATGATAAGGACATCAGTTGGCCTTGTTAATGCAGGATGAAAAAACCCGATGCAAATGACTCGCACCATTGTTGACTCACCTGGTCCTTACATTGAAGGTAAAACATGCATATGCCGAAGAGTGGATTCTAACTGCCCCGCCAACCAAATCAATAACAACATTACTGCTTTCCCAGCAGCTTTCAATAATGACATTTAGAAGTGTCGTACCGTTGCAGGGCTCAAATCCTTTTTTTCTCTGCATGCTGGTGTACTGACAGTGCAACCTGCAGGTAACGTCCTGCAAGTTTTGCCTGCACCAATCAGAATTTAGGAAGTATGGATCACACTAAAAACTGTGGAAAAACATGGCCATTGTGTCTTCTACAGTCAACAGCAAATAAAACTCCACACACACCTATATAGTTACATTAAGTGTAATTTACCCAGTACATGGCCCAGTGCAGGTTAGGTGCAGGTAGACATCAGAAATACCTGCACGGCTCCAATTTTACCTGCACCAACCTGCATATGCAGACGGTATTGCCAGCCCTGGCTCATGACCCCACTAGGTTTTGAAAAGGTGGTATCATGGTGAAAATTAATGATAATTATGCAGTGTACAAATGTCAATCTCTAGACTGTGACATCAAAAGAGCCCAGTTTCCTCGACTTCCAGGAACTGGTTTTTGAAGTGTTGCTTCTGAGAGAAGCTAGAACCTTTGACAAAATTGAAGTGTGAAAAAGGCCAGAAGGATTTGAAAGAGACATACGTAACACTGACTGAAAGATATACCATGTGTGACAGTGTAAGCTATATGTAATACTTTGCTAATTCATAAGTCTAGACACTACAGCAATCAAAGACTCTGTTGTCTTTTAAGTTTGAAAAAAGGACAGAAAGATTGGAAAGATAAAAATCTGTTAAAGGATGTATGGACGGAAGAATACTTCCATCAATCTAGATTCTAGAGATGTCAAACACATGCTTTCCCATGAGGTGTAAGCTTTTTGAAGTTTAATGCTTCTGAAAGAGTAGGAGTGTTTTTGATGTATGACGAAGATCCGAATACTTGACAAGTGTAGAATGCAATTAGGAAATACCAGAATTGACGTACGAGACTTAAGTATAATCCTCACTGGCATTTCCCTGGTGTTATGGAGTACTTTAAAATTTGTGAATTGGGAATGTTGACATTAACAGTAAATGGCAACATGGCCTGAAGATAACTAAAAGGAAATGTGGGTATAAAATTTGATTAAGCCAGCCTAGATATCAAAGATAACCTCTTCCCTGTCTTGTATAGCTGCCACACGTTGGTGTACACTTCTAAATTGTATCAAAAGCCACTGGCATTTTCCTAGCCTGTGTTACACAATATCTCACTGTCGGGCTGATTGGGCCTACGTGCAAGTTAATATGGCCCGGCAGTGTTCGAAATACCCGTCTGCAGTCTGCAATTTGCAGATAGATTTTCAAGATTGCAGAAGAAAAAATCTTACAATCTGCAATTTTGCAGAAGGAAAAAAATAGGCTCCGGAGTCAATAGTTTTCAATTAGCAAAGCAGTGGCGCTGTGAATAGATCGAAAACCTGCACCGCACGAACCTGCCAGCGTTTTCCAGCAGACTGTAATGGTCCCATATAAGGGAATTTGGGGTCAAAGTTGAACGATTTCGACAAGGCGACGAAAGGCGACGATAACCAAATATGGGCACTCGCCATTTTCCGATGTTAGATTTCGTCTCCCGGGAGGACTCGACAACTGCCTCGGCAATTTTCGTCAGTTTTCGCTGAGCATTTCCCAGCAGGCAACACGGCAAAGGAAACATGGCTCCTCCGAAAAACCACACTCGCCTCGGCGTTAATTTGCCGAAATTTCGATGTTTTTCCTTGGTATTTTGCACGATTCAAGCAAAGAAAACAAGTTGATCACATGAACAAAAGACAAATACAGCACTGGGAACCTAATGGTCCGTTTTGTTGGGCGGTAATTTCTCATTTCAAGTGAAAATTTACGTGCATCACATTGTGACCATATGGTGTGAAATCAGTGATTTTCGGCTCGATCCGAACCAAGCACGGCCCGTAGACTTGTCCTTTATGATTTCTAGATGACTATCGATACCAAAATACGGGAAAATATTATTGCAAAATGAGAGAGACGGAGACTAAGGTAAACTTCTTTTATTTGAAGGCTGGATTTTCATTTTCCTGGCAGGCTTCTTTGTATGTAGTGATCATCAGTTATTCAGTAACAACAAATATGGATTTTTGTTCCGGTCAAAAAACCGGTCCACCGACGTTTCGGTTTTTTTGGACCGGACCGATAAAATTTTTACGGTCCGAACATATTTAAAAGAGTGATATTTTGAAGAATTTCAGTAATGCTACAGATTTACAAAGCTATACCGTTATATATAATTATATGATGTAAAAATAGGCATTATTGGTTTCAGAAGGTTGTAATATGGGGGCTTGTGTATTTGCAGAAAGTATTTCCAAATTGCAGGACGAAATTTTGACTCTTCTGCAATATTGCAGAGCACTGAAAAAAAGTATTTCGACCACTGCCCGGGGAAACATTTTCAACTTATGCACCAATCTAGACATCAAAGCAATCATATCAGTTTCTATGACGATATAAGGCTTTGAAGCCTGTAAATTCTGTTAAGTGTTAATGTTGCACATTGTTGTACACTCAGACAGTGACCAACTATATTACATGATGGCAAAAGAAATTACAGTAATGTACATGTATATCTTACACAATTTCCTGTAAGGCTGAAGTGTAAGACAGCTGGTATAATGAATGATTAACATGAAAGTGACGAAGCTGTTTTGTGAAAGGAAATGCCGGAGGTTCCACCTATGTCTACACATCTAATCATGATATACCCAGAGGCATTTTTTACAGTTACACAACAACAATATTTATTAACATTGGTATGGTACAAAAAAATTCTGTAGCTTGTTTCTACTAGTAGGCTATATTAAATGTTTCAAGTATGAAATGATGACAAAAATGTGCTATAAAATGGCCGTAGATATCTGACAGATTTCCTCTTCCAGAATATTTTTGTTTGGCCACCCTGAGTGATATTGCATTGGATGAAGAATGCTCTGCTAAATTCAGAAAGACAACATGTTATGTCAAATTCAGCAAACTGAAGTGTTTACACTAAATCCGTGCGCCAATTATGCTTTTCCTAGAACTTGCTATGTGCAATTAAAACAGATGACTACGCCTCAGCCTCTAAGAACAGGGCACGAAGGCCAGTACCCTTTGCATGCTGCACGTACACTCAATTTTTTAATGAACAACTTGAAAAGAAAGGTCTAGGAGTAGTGAAGACTGCTGTTTGATGTGGGAATACGAAGGACAGCCCAGCAGAAGTTGGCAGTCGTGATAGACCGATGTCTTTGAAACGTGATGAAAGCCTCAAGAACCCACTGCCCATTACTAAACCTGAATCAGAAGTGGTTGTTGATTGCCTGTGGGGCAGAAACATCAGTCTTGATCTTGTTTGGGAGTAAAGTCTTTACACAAGTACCCTTTGGCATTTTCTTTCAACAGTTTCTTTCATCACTTAATATTAAAGGATGTCTGAGATGTAAATTTGACTAAGTATCACATTGTCAACACTACCCATACACCATTCCTGCTGTGGTGGCCCAAGGCCTACAGAAACAGAGATGGGCTACGATACGTAACAAGCAACCGTTTTCTATCAGTGACATCACATTTTTGCCTCACAGATATCAGTACTGTCATTCCCTGTGATGCGGAAGTTCCAACAGTATAATTGCTTTAGCTATGGGATAGGGTTGATTCCACTTATCACTGTAAGATTAGAATGACTAGAAAATTGACTTTCAATTAGAAATCCAGTTTTGCCAATTAAAGTTGAAGCCTTTAATATATTGTTTTTTTATTACTTTAACCATGTGTTTTGTTGTTTGTGATTGTTTCCAGCCTACTATGAGCAGTTGTTTAAGAAGCTGCACAACCACTACCAGGGTGAACCAGCCACAGGCCTGCTCCTCATCTACCCTCAGTACTGCATTCACACTGTGGAGGTTAGCAACTCACACTCTTGTACTATGCTGGCTTCATCTCAGTCAGATTATTGGTCACGTTGATTTAAACATAAAGAACTGTCTATAGTGAGCATTTTCTCAAGTCCCCTGTGTGGACCTTAAAATATAGACATTTTTGATTGTAATATACCTGACATTTTCCCCTCTATCTGTGTTTCCCAGTCGTCCAGTGAGATGTTGACAGCCACTCTCCGTGACCTGGTGTCCCATCAGCAGAGTGAAGGGTAAGTTAAAGGAAGACAAATTCCTCACTTCAACATATTGCAAAACCGTTTCTCAAGCCCTATTTCCTCACTAAACTAAAATTGAGTACCTAAGTTAGGGACGTCCTCTAAGATTAGACATCCTCACCTTGACCTATCGAAAAGGTGATAAAAAATCAATCCTTCTTCAGATATGTGAAAAATCTCCATAAGTAAATAAAAATGAATATTTTCCTAATCTCCCCCTCCCCAGAGCCCTGCTGAGTGATGCTAAGATCCTGATCATGTCACATGACATCCCCACACGGCTCTACCCACAGTGGAGCCACCGTGTCCTCAACCTGCCCGCGTCACGACTGGACAAGTACGAGACCAACGATCCCATCGAACAGCTGGTCAGTACAGTTTAGTTCTGTTGTTTGTTAGTGTGTGTGTGTGTGTCTAAATGTGCATCCGTGTGTTTTTGTCAGTTGATCAGTGTGGTTTACTTGACATGTTTGTTTACGTTATATTGCATTATTATTATTAGGGTAACATATGAAAGTGTGCCTCATAAGATACTGGAAATTGTAGCAAAGATTAGATGCATGTATACAATTCAGCAAATACATAATATAGTAGACCTTAAGTTAAATTTAATGCTAACTAGAATATACATGTATTGCTGTGAGGCAAAAAAATAGCGGTCAAAGAATTCTGCTCGTTCAACACTCATAAGAAATAAACTTCATTCTGTATTTGAAACAGTCCTTGAAAGTGTGGGGGAAATAAAGAACATCTGAAACAGTCCCTGCTGCAGGTATCATCTGAAATATTCAAAGTCATAGCAGAGAGCCCTCGCGGTCCATGCACATTTCTGATTATGCTTCAGATATTGCTGCATTATATGATAACAAAATCTTATTATTTGAAGAAAGTCTTGGCCTCACTTTATCTGAGTCTGCATCTCCTGTGAGGGATTATCAGGAGCAGGGGAGATTGTCAGGGGAATCAGGGTTGGAAATTAGTTTTTCCTGACCTTGGATGAAAATCTTAGCTCTTCATCGCACTGCAGTAGACCAGAGCTATAGTGGAGGCAACACTAATGATTTTATGTGCTGTTGAGTACACTTTTCCTTCAGAAGCCTTGTACATGTTTTACATAATCCATATTAGAAGATCAATAATTGCAATAATCATTGATTTTAATTGTAAAATTATGATAATGGCATTAATTGTGTACATTTTTGCTGCTCCCCTAGGTGCCAGAGTGTCTCACACAGCTGCTAAAGTTGGGAGTATACCTGGCGAAAACACCCAAACTCAACCTGAAGAATGCCATGGACTCCTTACATGAAAAAGTTCCAGAGCTGCTACCACCACAAGGTGAGGGAAATTCAGTCTTGTAAGCCATAAAGATATCAAGGACAGGTGTGTATGGATGGTTTTCAGCACCAAGGACATGTGTGATCATATGTGTGTGGATTGCGGTCAGCACCAAGGACTGGAATTTTAATGTGTGTTAATGGTGCTCAATACTAAGGGCAGGTGTGTTTTTTGTGTGGATTGCATTCAGCACCAAGGACAGGTTTATGTGTGTGCATATGTGCAGTGTTAAACACCAAGAATAGTATTTGTGTGTGTGGATGGTGTTCAGCACCAAGGACAGGTATGTTTGTGTGTGGATGGCATTCAGCACCAAGGACAGGTATGTTTTGTGTGTGGATGGCATTCAGTACCAAGGACAGGCATGTTTGTGTGTGGATGGCATTCAGCACCAAGGAGAGGTACTACATGTATATATATTTCCCCTTTTATGTGTTTCAGACCTGATAGGCTACCTGCTGATGTCCCTGGAGTTGGACAGTCCCCAGCAGTACCTGAAGAGGTACCACCAACCCTTCCACACTGTCCTGGATGGAGGTGGGTATTCATTGTTTTCACACGGTGTTTGCACCACATGTTAAACACACAATTATGCCATGTTCATTTGATTATATGGATGACATTTGCGCATGCATAAATTTTAGTCCAACAATGAAGTTAATCTCCAATAGTCTTGGCAAATTGCACTGACTGCTCAGTAAAACTTAGTCCATTAGGCCACACCAATTTAATTTGTTGGTTCTCGGATTCGCCTCTTCGTTTTTTTCTGATTTGCAAAAAAAAAAAATTTGATTCTGGTCCTGAATCAACTGAAAAATGCTCATGTTTTGCCCCCAACAGTTGAGGAAAGTCCTTTTCTTCCTAGTTGTTACAGTTTTCCCATCTATCATTGCAGTGGTTTTAATTAAAAGTTCAAAATTCAATGTTTAGATTTTAACCCAGCCTTTTGTGTTGACTTCATGGCTCATTCCATAGCATTTAAGCCTATAATAGGATGCCTAGACCTGTTTTTATTTTTATTTTTTTTCGCCCTGTCGCTTCATATTTTTTCTGAAAAAATCCGAGAACCAACAAATTAAATTGGTGTGGCCTTAGTGGTTGAACTACAGATGATGTTTGATGTTTTAGCATAGTTTCATTACATTTGACTATTTGCATAATTCGTTTACCATGTACATTTTATTTAGTCAATAATCTGATTATACATTTACCTGATTGCAAATTCTTCATGTTTCTTTTTCAGAACTAGTATGGCCGATTGCAGACAGACTTTTCCCTCTCAAGCAATGATCTCATTGCATTCGCGAGACAGGGCCAGTATGAACCAATAACATTCTTATGATAACCATGTTATAAAATAAACCTTTTGTGAAACATTACAACGGAGTGCTTTGCATTCAGCAGTGACAGGTTCAAATATATTCTATGATATATTACAGACTTCATATCTACACGTATCTTCCAGAGTCTTGCTCTATGCTTTCTCTCCTCAAGGAAATTAAAACATGTCTATATCAGATATAAAGCAGAATTTCCAGTAGTTCCATGAGAAGGATTTATATAACATACAATATTCTGACAGCCTAAAATTTCAAAGAGAAATCTCTTAGAATGTTTGGTTTACATATGGGAAAGGAAATGGGTTGTCAGTCACATCAGACTTTGTACATAATGTTTGAATGAAGAAATTTGTAGTTGTTAAAAGATTGGTAGCCATTTTTGATACAGATACCTGTTGGCTAATAAAACTGAGTGTAAATAATGGCAACCATCCATCTTTCCAGTTTTTTTTTTTTAGTTTCAAACACCTGCGAAGAATTACCACCAATAATGATACACAATGTACATTATTCTACTGATGAAGGGGGATTGGTGTATCTTGAAACGTTTTGTCAAAAGTTCCTATTATCTTGAATCATTTCTGCACCTCCACATACATTTGTGCTGTATGGATCTTTATATTTTGATAATAAAAGAAATGTTTCAACTAAGCTTAAGGGTTGCTTCTTCTTGGTTGCTCAACTCTATGTCTATATGTGTTGCATAATAGAAGGATCGTGTCAGACGTTTCAGACAGTATCTGGCATACTTCATCTGTGAATAACGTTACTGTAATTTACTGTGAAAGGCTCTCTGTATGTAGACAAGTGGGAGTAAATGAATGTGTCAGCTGTTCCTGACGTGGATGCTGTTTGAAACGTCTGGCCATGTCAGTGGTCTTAGTATCCAGTTCTTTGATTTATTTTGAATAAAATGCATTTGATGTTGATTTGATTATATGGGTGACATCCTCTGGGAACCCCAAAAGTGATGCGAACATTCGAATAAAATAAAAGGTTTGGCACAAAAAAAATGTCTTCATTATAAGATCTACGGGGTTATGAAGGTTTAACAAATGACTAAACACACAGAGTATGATATGGTGATGTATGTATGTAGACATTCATCAAAAAGTATAGTTATCCAATATTTTTGTTCAATTTATGGCATATATTTAATCATTTTCAGCTGCTTTGTACGATTTACAGTATGGTCAAACACTTTTTTTTGGAATCCAAACTTCATGCACGCGTAGATGTTATCCATATAATCAAATCAACATGGCCTTACCAGGATGTCTAACCTTCAAACTGAGCACGCTGGTGTGTACCGAGCCTCACAGTTCTCGTTAAGACAGCCTCAGTGCCCCGGACTGCCACAAATCACGGTTTCCCCTCGGTATTCTGACGTCAGAGTCTGAAAGTCATGGCGAGTTTCCAATTTTCCCATGCAGCAGGACGGGCAGATTGACAGTCGGGCGACAGCAATTTGATTTGTCGGTTTTCAGAGGTTTGAAACTGGTAACAAAAAAACTTATGCTAGATTGGAATACCTACATCTAGAACCTTCAAGTTGGTTCTTACATGGTGGGAGTGATCGAATGAAGATCGAATGAACATTTTCCAGTGTTCAATTTTGATGTCTGGCATGAGAGTAGAGGTTGGTGGAAAGTCTTACCTTGGTTGACAATGTTACAGGGAGTGAATATAGTCAGATTCAAGTTTGAGGCGGTTGAAAATCAAAAGGAGAAAAGAACACAATTACTGATTTTCAACCTACCTCCTTGTTTAAACTATTTTTTGTTTTTGTTGTCTTTTTTCTCAAACTTTTCGTTCATGGAAACTGCCCGGCCAGGCCTCGTGGCTTAGTATCACAGCTCAGGGAGAGGATAGTCAGATTGAACTTTTCCTCCCAGCCTCCTGAATCCGTATTGTTGAAGTTTAATTTGAAATGTCAAATGATGAATTTTTTTCTTGCTGAAATTTCATCCATGAATGTTAAAGAACATACAAGATGAATTGGCATGTCCTAAATTGCAATTTCGATGTCTGACATGGTTCGCTGCCGTCTCCAGCGGGCCGCTTTGGAGGGCGGGTTCCTAAAAGGTTCCGTCTCCAGTTGGGTTGCGTAACTATTGGATTTTGTATTAGCTAGGGTCGAGCGATCATTCAGTCAATATTGCATGGTGTTTTTTAGGAAATTCTTGGAAACATAAGAGAATCTGAATTGGTATAGTCGTCTCCTTGTCTAACCGCCGTAACGAGTAGAGAATTGGTAGCCAAACCCAGCTTCGTTAGGCCATATTCATCAGCACGTGTTAAGGGTCTGGACAATGTGATTTTTACAACCATTCCACTAACGACTGTTGATTCCTGTTTGTAGTCTATCGCTTGGGGAGTAAAATCACTACTTAATTGCTGTGAGTTTGTGTTAGTTTAATGGAGGAAGAGAGTTTGACATTTCTACTCTTGAAACGTAAAGCTACTTCTAAAAATGTGAACCTTACTGACTCGTCTCTCATGCTGAAACCATCAGGCAAAATCAAAGAAACCACATATCATACAGGAAGTGAGTAAAGCTTCCAGTGCCTCAAAAGAAGAAACCAAACCCAACAAAACTAGTACCACGCAAGTTGTAGAATGTAGTATAACGTCGGGACGTAGTATCTTATATTACTGTATTTATCTTTTTCATTTTGAAATTGTGTGATGCATTATTATAACTCATTGAAACTGTGCGTTTTCCTGATGTTATAGTGCTTTAATTTGTGTCATTTGTGTGTCATGTTAACGTAGAAACTTTAAGAGTTCCATAGATGTATAAATTTGATTTTAACATTTTCAAACCTGATCCAAAGTTCTTCGTAACCCTTAAGTAGTAAAAAGCCCTGTGAGTGACCCGTGTTAGCTTAATGGAAACGCAGGCCTGCCTACTGCTATAAAAGCGTAATTGTGCTTTCTTGCTCCAGACCCCCCAGAGGATAAGGTTTACAATCAGATTTAATGTTGCAACTTCAGTAAGACGTGTGTAAGCATGCTAATGCTGGTTGACATTGAACAGGCTGTCTACACTGGACACCAGTCTGTTATAGCCTCCTTCGAAGACTTCTGATGCGGTGGCGTTAACTTTTTTTTTCAGGGGGCGATGCGAGTTTTACCGCTGAGGGATTTTGCCAGGGAGAGGCGGTTTCCGGAAACCGTCTCTCCCCGGTGGGCAAAATAATCCCTCGGCGGTAAACCCGTCCCTCGGCGGAATAATTCGCGTCGCTCCCCGAAAAAAGAATTAACACCACCGCATCAGAAGTCTGCGAAGGAGGCTATAGTAGACTGGTGTCCACTGTAGACAGCCTGTTCAATGTCAACCAGCATTAGCAAGTCTAATACACTGTGCCCGGGCGACCACGCTTTTCAAGTCCATTAAGCCTTAACAAAAGTGTTCGAGACTCAAATTTAACTCGAATTCAATTCAATTCGTATAGAAAGGTAGACGCGGACTTAATCTGGCCAGACTGCTCCCGGACTAAAGCGTCGGTCACAACTCGCCGTGCGTGCTTTTTGTCCGTACGTTTTTGTCGTGGCTACGTCTGCTACGTTTTTTCTGCAAACGTAGGGTGGCCGGCCGAGGGAGTACGTCACTCGCACGGTTGCGCAAGGTGTACGTACGTGGTCTGCACGACACGCCTGGCCGTCAGCGGTTGCGTGCATCGTACGTTGCGCAAGTGGTAAGTGAGTTGTACGTGCTTACAACGCACGATCTCTGTGCGATTGCTACGTTGCCGCGTACAGGCCGTACCTACACGTGCGGCGTACGCACGGTTTCCTTACTCACTCGCACGTTGTAAGTGCGTGCACCTCCTGTTAACTTCATCATCACTAGCCGCCCTGGTGTCTTCCGCGGCCCGTTTTTTGGGGTCTTGTCTGGTAGTCTTCCTCTGAGCCTTCCTGGGCATCTTGGAGACGAGTTGGCAGTCGCCCGTCAAGTTCTCTTTATATACTGTAGAGATCAGGTGCGTTGCACGTGCGTTGCACGTACGTTGCACGTGCGGAGTACCTGGTATGGTGCACGTGTGTTCTGCGTGGTCATTGAGCAGGTCAACTGGGAAGTGAGGAGTAAGCACGGATGACGCAAGCACCGTGCGTGGCACGCACGTGCTTCGTGCGCTGTCCGTACAGCAATTGCACGTGAGAATAGTGAAGTTAGACTCACGGAGTCCGTACGTTGCACGCTCATAGGCTGTACGGGGCACGCGCGTCGCACGTACTCGCACGCACGGGTGGAAAATCCGCAGACCGCACGTAGAAAAAGTATTACATGCACTTAACGTTCTACGGCGTGTCTGCGTGCTCCAAAATCCGTAGGATTCCGTACGGAGGTGGTACTCACCACGCACGGATGCCGTACGATTGTCCACGTTTTTGCACGTAGACAGCACGCAGAAGCACGTACGGCGAGTTGTGACCGACGCTTTAGGCCGACTTTTGTTGGTTGGTGTTGGGTGACAAGACTGGAGGAGGATCCTGAATTAATGTGTGACGGGGGCGATGTCTAACTGTCCGAGCTTTCTTCAACTTTCATCATGTAAAACCCCTTTCACCAGCCAATACATTTTTTCACTCCGCCATTCTGCCTTTCTTGATCACTGAGACAGTATAAGTTATGAGATCGCTGGGGATATCATTCTGCATTTGCTTTAAGTCGAGGAACGTCGATTCGAATGTCTACCATATAACCGGCTTAAAAGCCCGTGCGCCAGGCCACGGCAAGTCGGTTGCCTGTTTAAGATCAGTCTACAAGCGCACACAAGTTGTGATTATGATGTTCATTCAGTACCAAGGCTACTTCCGAATTTTTCACAGTTGTGTTCAAACACGTAAACTCAATTTAGCGTCTATGCAGAAGAACAGAAGACGCTGCCATGTAGTTTAGTGTATAACGAAATCAATACACATTTACGAGTATATGATACATTGACCAAAGAACAGTTTTAGTCTGGCCAATCTGTCCATGTCACCTGCGAGCGGTGTAATCTCCGAAGAGCGGCTGGCAATCCGATACCGCCACCGGGCTCGATCGCGTAATCTCCCGCCGCCCGGCCCGCCTTAAATCACCGTCTTCAGACCCTGATTTCGGTACCTGATCTCCCCGAGCTCGATCGCTCATCCTGCAGTCCACAGCTGAATGCGGATACTGATTTTCACGGTACTCTCGTGTTCCCTAAATTTTTTCACGTCTGTACCGTAAACTTATCATCACCGTTATCATTTGTCTTTGTAACTATAACCTTTTCAAGATGCCAAGCCTAAGACCACTCACACCGGGAAGGACCCCTGCTCTTTTCGATATGTACGAGTAATGCGTATTCCTTGCCTGTATGATAAAGGATTGCCTAAGTGATGCTAGCAAGAAAGTTCATCTAAATTCGTAGATATGGTGAAAAATTAAACTAAACCTGTTCTCTAACTCAAAGAAATTTTAAAAAAATCAAAGAACCGGGACGAGGGGCGATACATACGTCTGGCGAACTTTGACCCAGTGCTGACATCACACGTGGGAAAAATCACGTGTACATTATGTCAGAAATGTAATGGAGACCAAGCGATTCGGTTGAAAGTCTAATTGTTTAGTCTAATTTCTTCTAGTTGCAGGACAGTTTAATTTGTCACTGGGTGATGCTATTGGTCGTACTTTGAATACCTTTCATGCTAATCTTCCCGTGGTCGATGCAGGAGCTGATGTGAAAAGTGACACCACGGGACACACGTACCATCAATCAGCAGGGAGACGTCTGCCAGGGGATGGAACCCATCAAGGCTTCAGAGGAACCGGTCTAAGAGAAAATATGACTGATAACATGCGATCAGCGAAGTGAACCGCGGAGAAAAAGGGCACCCGCGGGCCAGTTATAGCGTCCTGGCAATAAAACAAGTCGACCGTTAGAAGATATCAAAGACCCTGGACTGCCGACCTTTGCTGACCAGCTACGTGCGAGCATTCCAGGAAGCCTGAATGCGACAGCATAAAACGGGGTTAAGTTCGGTCTCCATGGACGGTCTTTGGCTCGTCATCCATCTATGTCGCTCTTTCCATCCCACCAAAGAGAAACTTCGGTTGAGAAATGCTTTCTAAGGGGAGCTAAAGCCAAGAGATAGTTTCTGTCTACCGAGGCATACTTATCAGTATCATGCAGATTTCTCCCTCGGAATTCAAATAAAACGAAGCCCTGAGGCATCAGTACAGGACAAGGACAGGGATAGTTTTAAAGGCATTCAATGCAATTTCAGGGCGGCAAAACCAAATTATCCTGCATGGATGAGGAAATCTGTCTGACATTGCCATTTTCTGCCTTTTCTTAGCACATGTTTGTCATCATTTCATACTTTCATATATATACCTGGTCACACAACATAAAGTTTTAAAAAATACTTATAGAGAACGTAAAAACGTACAAGATGGATTGGCTATAGTAGAGAGAAAAGTGACTTGCAAAACTCAGCAAGAAAGCCCGCGGTTTTGATATATCCACATCAAGAATTGAGATACTGTTCCCGTAGGAGACACATATGGGCTGACTGCAAACCGCAATAACATGACAATAGCCACGTATATTATACCATTTCAACTTTTTTGCGCCATGTGATATTGAATCAAACTCTATCCGTCTCATGAACTAAATCGTTACCTCATAGAGCTCAAAAGGCCATATTGTAAATCGTTCAAAGCAGCGCTGCAAAATGAGCAAATCTATGCAAAAATGTAGGGAAAACGATTTTAATATTGTGGAATGCCAAAATCAATTCCAAAGAAAGAAAAAAATGTGAAGTTAATAAAGTGTGTATGATTCGACATACCGAACAACCTTTATGTGTTTAGTCATTTGTTCAATTTAAGCACTACGTAGATTTCATAATGAAGACACCTTTTTTCCAACTTTTTTGCATCAGTTTTGGGGTTCGAATTCCCAGAGGAAGTCGTCCACTCGTATAATAAAATCAGCATGGCTCAAGGAAAAAACAATTATCTTTGAGAAAACGATGTCAGAAATAGGATATCATAGCGGCTGCCGCCCCCTCGTTTCTAGCCAGAGGAAAGCTAGCCAGCAGGGCGGGAGTCAGCAATGGACGAGGACGCTCCATGCATGTAAACATGATGATGATGAGGGAGCACATTTCGCTGCCCTGCGCAGCATGTGTGCCTGATGAGCGGCGACATTTGCATTGCTGAACGCGCCGGGCTGCGTTTGGATAGATCGGCAGAGTGACGGGAGCTACACACGGGCCCACTACAGCAGCCCTCAGCGTTACCGCCTCCAGGTACTAGGTAGGTACCGTGTCATGTACGCTTAATTAAGACCAATTTGCCATAATCGGATACTTAAAGTAATGTGCTTGCAAATGAAATTTATCTAAAATAATTTGATACATATAATTGGAGAAAATGTGAATGTATATATATGCGATCTGTTTTTGCGGTGGAAAAAATGAGACTGCTGTATATGACATTATTTTTATACATGAATTAATAGGTCGGCCGATATTTGGTAGGGGAAAAAATGATGTTTTGGAAAATTTCCAGAGAATCATTGTGGAAAAACTTGTGGAAAACGAAGGCGAATTCGAAACTAAACGGCATTCCAGTGCCTCTTGTTTTCTAAATCTGAATAGACACACATGGAAAGTACTATACTAGTAGTTAATTGTTGTTTGTTTAATGAAGATAGGATAATAAATAAGATTTTTACAATGTCAATTATATCTGTATTTAAGAAAAAAACAGCAGAGTGAGAGGCAACGCTGTTACTATCCTTTGAACAATGCCTTAGTATGTATGTCTGTATAGGGTAGGGTTAGAATCAGGCAAGGTTCCGGATAGTCTCCGCGTATCCAAGAACGTAGATTTGCCGCAGGCACGGTTTGTATACAAGTGGGCTCAGAACCGTGTACGAGCACGTTTTTAGATACACCAGTTACCTCAGGTGAACCCTTGGCTAACTCCTCACTCCTCAGCTTGTTTTCCCAATCGAACGGGAGTCAACACGCTAAGACTACGAAAAGTATTCCCACGGTACAGTCCCACGGTAAAAAATATAGAAAATCAATTAGATATTGCCTGTATTACTATTTCTCTGGATATTGTGTTTTGTTGTTGTTGTACTATACAAACAAACAAGAAAACAAAAAGAACCTGTCCTGTACGTGTTCTTCGCATTTTACTTATTCCACTCCTGTTGTTGTGATTAGTCTGCAATGGTTTTATACATATGCAAGCTTCGGTTGTTGTTTTTTCCCCACATTTCTGTGCGCCGCTAAGGTCTTGGGAAATGCGTCTTAGATATTGATTCTTGCCTTCTTGTTGTGATTCAAGACGCATACTGAAATGTCTTTAGGTACACGGGGTAGGTTTCCCAGTGCTCCCTCACGGCGGTAATTTAGTAGATTGTAGCTCCATTTGGGGCACGTTAACCGGCGTCGTGCTGGGAAGTTTCAGGTGTTGGTTTTTGTCACCAGACACCATCAACTCCGGTAAACCATGGCCGGGTACAAAACCACTGCTAGGTCACACAAACTTCTGTTTTATCCCAAACCATGTCTAGAGACTTGATTATTTAGTACATTTATCCAGACAGTACTTTTTACTTCAAAATTTAAACAAAACAAAACAAAACAAAACAAAACAAAACAATACATGGTGCACAATGTTGACGTACTCAAGCGAAATATCCTATATTAACGTCACCACTGGACAAAAAAAATAACAACACGAGACAAAAATAACAAATGGGTAACCTCCGATGAACAGGAACGGAATTAAACAATTAAGATGATGTTATCTGTATGCAGTTTGAATTTGTTAAGTTTCAGATAGGTACGAGTATAACTGTGTGGTAGCGAGGCTTTGAGTGTTGATTTCAGATGACAGTAGAGGTGATCAGGTAACAGGTATACAGAATAGAATGAGATTAATTGTTAATATCTAACTAAAAAGTCAAATACATTCATATGTATGGTGAGCAGGCTCTCCAACTATGTTCTGCTACATAATGTAACCCAAACGTTAACACCGCAGGGTGTCTGGTACAGCACCAGTTACCATGGTGACAGACGTCTGGTCCAGGCCATTGACTTTATTTGTTTAGAACGGCAGACGACGAAGAAGAAGAAACTGAGCAAAACAATAGAAAATGGACAACTCGGGCTCCTTCACCTTTAAAGGTGCCACAGGCCACCACAAGCTGGCTGCAAAACATGTCATGATATAATCTTTGTATAAATAATCATTGTTTATATAATGTCTTAGACGTCCAGCCTTCATCAATGAAGCGTGGTCTTGGCTACAAAACATTTGCTTTCATGTCATCGACCTAATTCTCCCTGTTTTGTAAGCGAAACATGTTCAAACAAAGCGCCGCCGATGTGTGCAAATAGTGCCAGCGTTGTAGGCTTTGTAGCACTTGAATGCTGAGTAGAAACGGGCCAGACTATACGAGTTCACCACGGTCTCCAATATCATTGCTACATGGTCGGGAAGCTCGAGCTGGTATATGCGTGAACAGTTAAATCAGGTTGGTACAATGATTTTATGTAGTTCACGCGCGTATCCAGAACCGTGCCTGGGGCAGATCTACGCTCTAGGATATACAGAGACTATCCAGAACCCTTTCAACCATTCAGGCAAAGAACTGCATACACGTAGGCACGGTTCTGGGTACAATAACAAGTCAGTATTACCTGAGGTAATCTCCGAGCAAATCTTTGGGTGGCTGCAATAAAGTATCAAATTGGCCAGGCAGTAACCGATACGCGAGCCAATGGCTACAGACAGCCAATGGCTACAGGCTGACAATTATAGACTGCCCTTGGCCCAGAGAATCTACTTGGAGATTATGCCCGAGGAAGGTAGCAGAAGTACCACCGAACATCGACAGGTGCGACTAAGAACTGTTTTATCCACAGGTGAGTGTAGTCTGTGTGGAGAATGCCCTCAGGGACATGGTTTGCAGGAAACGTAAGAAGTCGGTGTTTTCGTCCTAGGTCGTCGGACGATTTCGTACCATTGCCGTAGAAATTTAAAGCAGGCTGTGAAAGAACCAAGATCTAATTTTTTATAATTTTGATCGTGCGACAACCGCACGAACGACGTATGTGACCGACCACGGAGGTCTAGAGAGTGCAGTTTACTCCCCTACTTGGACAATTTCTTCTACTTTTCGTCTGGTAGAGACTGTTATGAGTCTGGTAGAGACTGTTATGAGTCTGATAGAGACTGTTATGAATCTGGTAGAGACTGTTATGAATCTGGTAGAGACTGTTATGAATCTGGTAGAGACTGTTATGAATCTGGTAGAGACTGTTATGAGTCTGGTAGAGACTGTTATGAGTCTGGTAGAGACTGTTATGAGTCTGGTAGAGACTGTTATGAATCTGGTAGAGACTGTTATGAATCTGGTAGAGACTGTTATGAATCTGGTAGAGACTGTTATGAGTCTGGTAGAGACTGTTATGAATCTGGTAGAGACTGTTATGAATCTGGTAGAGACTGTTATGAGTCTGGTAGAGACTGTTATGCTGCAAACACTTACTCTGCAAGCAAAAGGTTTATTTTTGACTTATTTTTAGATAGTTTTGTTTGACTTTCTGTTTTGTACTGGTGTGTTTTTTTCCAATACGCCAGTCATACTTTCGGTGGCAAATGGATACTGGGCATGCCCTGCCGATTCTTCCCAATTTAAAACTCTTTTGTAGCCACCAAAAGATCTGCTCGGAGATTAACAAACATCGGTCTCCCTCATTATGTTCTTAAGGCCTTGCCAGACCGTTCCGCTGAAGGGCAGCCGACAGACGTGCCGGCAATACTCTCTATACGGCCATCAAACAAGGCTCATTAGCGTGACATTAATACTCGTGCTCCGGGCTCTTGAGACTCGCTACCGGGCGCGGACTGAAGCCTAATTGCCCCCGTACTCTTCAAGAGACAACGGAGAGGTGGATCATTAGGGCAATTCTGCCTCTTCTATTGAAATCTCGGAGTCCTTGATGTTAGTGTGTGACGGACGGAATTGCCGGCTTGCGTAAGGCCGGAGTGCCACACGAGCTGCGCAGTCACATGTGGTTAACCCTCAAGAGACCACGCGGTTCTCTGGGAGAGGTTTACACGTGGCAAAATGTCACGAGCAGCAAACTTTTCTACCGTTAGACTTTTGGCATATAGACGAATTAACTCGGTCTCTGGGGACATGGCCTAAATCGTTTAAAAACGTCCTTGTATGTAAAATATCACGAGGTATTTTTGATTATCAAATTATTTAAAAAAAATCAACTCACTAATAGATACGATGCTTTCGGGCATCTCTCAAGAAAGCTGCTGACATTTGCTCAATCAAAACATTCACTTCAAAGTATTCTGCAAATAAAACCATATTACTCCTAAATTCAGCACAAATTTACACGACCAATTACACCCCTTTGATATTGGCTATCCAGCAGTTTTCCAGTGTTATATATAGATAAAATCTAAAGGTTAGAACAGTCACAGCGTAACGAACTGTTGCAAAAGATAATCGTTCCAGGCCCTTCAAAACCTCAGCGGCTGTTGTCGAGTCCCTCTTCATCTATGTTACATCTACACTTCATATGCGGCACAGATGACATGAAAGCAACGTGCTGCTGCACATCATAGTGACCGTCTCTCTGCAATGTTGGCAGAACACAATACGGCCGTAATTGGTCGTCAGATGTTGAACAGAGTCATTTACACAGCTGTTTCCAGGCTTTAGAGCTTCATCAACAAATAAAACAACAGTGAATTTTGTTGATTTGAATCTCTACAGCTGTTTCGGGGTCGTCATAGTATCCCAAAGATCAACAATTAGACTGATATTTGAAGTGCAGTGTGGGAAAGAGATTGCCTATTATATTGGCAAACAGAACACACGGGTAGGTGTGTAGCAGATGGTGAGAAAGATGATTCATACACAGTGTCCTTAGTCTATATAAGAAACCGAACTGGCATGATCTCAGTACATCGCTGCTGCTTTCACCGCCGCACATCGCCATACTTTACAAGTAAGTTTCAGTTGTGTTGTATCCAGAACCGTACGCGTGCTTTATCAAGTCATACCATATTCAGGTAGTCCAAACGTATCCAGAACTGGATTTTCGGAGTTTTTGGCCATTCTTTTAATGTAGTAAGTTGGATCAAGCCCATCTCATAGTATACTGATATATCTTTGAAGTAGAGAAAACAATGCCACTGCCACAAAACGGTTGCTTGTTTTGTAGGTCGGTTCTAGCTATTTATGGGCGGTACCCAAAAATATAGAGACGTCTCACGTAGCTTATGTGATACGACACTTCAAGTATGAAATGATGACAAGAACGAGCTGTATCAAATGACGGTGAATGTCAATATCAGACATATTTCCTCCTCCAGAATATTAAGTTTTGTCGCTCTGAAATTGCATTATATCCGATGCCTTAAAACTATCTTCTATATACCGCCGACGTCGTGGGCAGACCACGTACCAGCAGTATTCCCCTGGGATCCTTCCACGGTTTTCGCTGACGTCAAACCTTACGATATAATCTGACTCGCGGCCGGCGGACGATATGAATTTTCCGCTCCCCAAACACAGCCGAGAAATCCTCGGGCATGTTGTAATGAGCCTGTCTATCACTGCAGCTCGCGGGCGTGATGCGCGCTTATTTCATTCCGTCCGAGCAACTATAAAGGCTTTTAAGTTAGCGCGTTATTTCTACCCTAAGGCCGCCTTTCCAATAGACATTGAGCCACCAAAATTGGATTTGTGTAGTCACTGTTTCATAATTTGAAAATGATGTACGACGTCAAAGTATGATCTAAAAGAGAAAATGCAGAAAATTTGGTTCTTTGCCTATGAAATTCGTTGAGTGATCTGCCAAGTGCCAAATATTTTCTGGTGTATTGAAGTTTCATCTCACATTATGATATGGATGTAATGACAGTGTTGTACGAGTAGCCATGATGATTGTAGTACTGTAAGTAATTGACAGACATGGTGACGGCAAACTCAAGTTTATGCCGCCACCAACGCAGCGAAAAATATTCATTTTCACCTGAGTGAAGTGAGGAAAGTCGTGTTAAGTGCCGTTCCCATGGGCACAAAATCGGTGGCATGGCAGGATTCGAACCCGAGACCTCTTGGTTCTGTGGCGAACACTCTGCCGTTATGCCACACGAGTGACACGCCCCCGTTATTTCTATATAATTATTCTACTCGATCTTGTACATCACGAAGCAAGCAACAATAGCTTGGTCTTCATTCGAGCCTAACCTCGATTTTACGGCCTAACACTTTCGATATCTACGTGCCGCTCTTGACATACACAGTTGACTCACCACCCATAATGTCAACTCTAACGGCGGAAATGACGCGGAAAGTTCCATTAATCTGAGAACAATTCATAACTCAGTGTCAATCTTTAACCTTTTACGCAGGAACGTTCGGCGCTGAGAGGAGACGGTTCTGCGGAAGGGAAGAGACCCCGGAGGACTCTCCAGCCCGGAAATGTTGGAGAAAACCAATTATTGCGCTGCTCTCTTCGGGGAAAACCGTGCGGGGAAGAAACGTGCGGAGATCTGACGAACGTTTAGTCATCATGCCGAGGGCTTCTGCATCCGGTCATTTCCGTAGAAATCACTGAACAGTCAGACTACAAAACTGAGAAGGATTCTACTGAGTTTAAAAGACGATTTGTGGCTGATCAAGTGAACATGGGCGCCGTTTTGCCTGCCAGATTCTGTAGAAGTCATTGAACAGTCAGCCTTCACGGACTCTCTACCGACGATTTGTGGTTTATCAAGTGAAGATGGGCGCCATTTCTGGCCGTTTATCTGTCGGATTCTCTACTAATCATTGAACAGTCAGCCTTCGCATCCCAACAAAACTGAGACGGACTCTCTACTGACGATTCGAAGATGGGCGCCGTTTCGGGCTGTCTCTCCGCCGGGTCTTCCAACCAGATTCTGCCCAAGAAGAAAAACGATGAAGGGATCTACGACACCAGGAGGCTCCTGTCCGAGCTGATCACGGTCCAGACCGCCATCGTCTTCACGGACACCGGGTCGCCACAAGACACAGCCGCGGGGGAAGGTAAGGACTCCCTCGCCTACACCCTGCGGAGTATCGCGGAGCTGAGCGGCCGGATCGGGCGTAACAACGCCGCGGGCGGCAGGATGAACGTGAAGGACCAGGGAGCGCTGCCGGGCATCACGGAGGCGCCGAGCACGCTCAGCCACAGCTCCGGACAGTCTCGGTTCGAGGTGCGCCAGGAACACAACATCACCCCCTCCGGGACTATGCCCGCGGTGTCCGTACAGAGTAGGTAACTCCTTTCGGCTGGCTCAGGCACGGTCTTGGACAGTCCTCGTGTATTTAGAACCGTGCTTTATCCAGATCCATGTTTAGTCACGATCCTGGAGAGTTCACGTGTATCCAGGACCGTGCTTTATCCAGACCCACGCTCCGGCACGGTTCTGGAAGGTCCACGTGTATCCAGAACTTTGTCTGTGGCAATTGTGCGTTCTTAAATACGCAGAGACTATCCATAACTGTGTCTAATCCCAACCCAAAGGCACAGAAGTAGATATGCACGGTTCTGGACACAATTACACTCTCCTGGCTAAATCGCGCTAAGAATCTGCGCATGCTTTCAAGTTTCAACTTGATTCATTCCAACCAACCATGCAGAAGTGACATGATGGTAACCATCTGCATGACGTTGATTTCACAGTTATAAAATGCGGCACTGGTTACGCCTCTATAGAAGCTTGACACAAACTCTGACAAACCCTCCATAAAGCCCTGGACAGTGAGAGTTTGTGTTACATAGAGACTAAAGTCTACTGAAGACTGTGGGATAGTAGCCTGGACTGTACATGTATCGCCGGTCTCACAATCTGTACTTAAGTGTACTTAACTTCAAGCCTTTAGCGATACAACTCAACGGTATGGCTGCCATTTTATAACGACGTTCTTAAAAGCGTTCACAATGCCAACGTTTCAGAGAAGTTTAAGCGCTTTTTATTCTTATTATTCGGTCTTCTGCCAGAAACAAGTTGTACTGTTGTTCATAACATCATTCCAAGTCCAAAGATATACAGTGATGTGATAACTCTAAATGATCGTATTTCTGTTGCAAACCTGCATAATTTAACGTCGGTTATATAGCTATTGACAAAAGCCATTTCTTTTTTAAGTTGTACCATCATTCCTGTCTTGTTGAGATGGCGAACATTCTTTTGTATCGAACTTGTGGATAACTTAATTTGGAATGTCGATCTTCTAACACCATCTGGTGCACAGATTTTACCTGAACTAGTTGGCTTTATATAATTATGTTTTATGGTCTATAAAATAACGTTTTTATGCGCAACAAAAAGGTATTGTAGTGTTATCGTGAATGTTGTGGCGTCACCTTGACTGTTTCTGAAACCACTTCACATCGAACTTTGACCTACAAAGACCCTATTGTTGACTGAGTGTCAATAACTGTGGATTTGAAATGTTGTTAATCTTGTACTGTAGTGTGTATCGCACCATTGTTTGCAGACTGTCAGATGCTGTGTAATTTTCTACAAGTCATATATCAAAGATCAAGGCGTTCTAGACAGAGAAGGCTGATAGTACGGGGTGACGTTTGTACTCGGCCGCTTTGAAAAGTGGCTATATGGTACTCATAGTAGGTATGAGCTGACCGAGAGTCTACATGTAAATAAAGCATTGAGATGTATTGAAGTTTGGGTAAGTTGGTCACAAACAACAATAGAAGGATCGTATTTGAACATGATGTCTACCTATCTATGTCTACTGTCTCTTGTGAGTGCGTGCGTGCGTGCGTGCGTGTGTGTGTGTGTGTGTGTGTGTGTGTGTGTGTGTGTGTGTGTGTGTGTGTGTGTGTTTAAGGCAGACTGAGAGAGCGACAAACATACGGATGGAAGGATAGAGAGACGAATAGAAAAGGAGCAAGAGAGACAGAGAAATGACGGAAAATAGGTATACCATTGCTGGGGACCGCATAGCCGGAAGTGACGTCACGTCTGGCCCAAGCCGTCCTTAAGCACGTTGCATTAATTCCGTTTCAGCCCGTGGTTTCAGCTGAAGGTACCAGACCAGACAAGTCTGTCACGTTCATTCATAGTGCTCAAACATGACATTTCCGGCATGCTTATTGTAGTCATTCTCTACCAACAGAGGCTACAACTAAAATATATAGCACAGGAAGGCTGGTTTGTGAATTTGAGGATGAAGGTTGTTGATTGAACCTGACAAGGCAGAAGCTTGAGAAGACGTTGAAAGCCTGTGTGGGTGAGAAAGATGAAGGTAGGTTATTAAACATTGGGTCTGACGTGACAGGACCAGACATGTTGGCGTGGTCCGGCTAATGTTAGATCTGCGGTGTGGAACAGCAAACAGCCTTTTCAGAAGCTTCAGTCTGTCCAGTTCAATGAAGATGAGAGAGATGAAAGTTGGCATCGTAGTTTTTGAATTCATGAAAATATTTCAGCAGAAATTTTCTTCTTCTGCACAAGACTATGAAAACGTCTATATCGTCCGATCCAGAGTAAAGCCCCCGTCACACAAAGCCGAATGAATGAATGAATGAATGAATGAATGAATGAATGAATGAATGAATGCACTTTATTGCTCAACAATCGTACAAGGTACAATATGACTCCACGCAACCATGGTTAGGGGTAGGTCGGGAGCAAGGTCGGTTGGTGCTCGGCAAGGTTGGCTACTGTTCGGCTGCGACATGCCGCTAGATGTTTCAAAATGTTAAAAACATTCTGGTGTTAGCGGGAGTTTCGGGCATGGCTTGCTGGTGTTCGGGATTAGGTTAGAGCGCGGTTGGCAACCAAATATGCACTCAAATTTAACTCAAAATCTATTAGATTCATATATAAAGGTAGCCGTGGCCTAAATCTGACCAGGCGGCTCCCGGACTTCAGCCAACCTTGGTTGGCTCGTGGTCGGGAGAAGGTTGTGAATGTGTAACTGGGGCGTTAGTGACCGTGGATCAGACAGCACAGACGATTGCTTCGACGCACAACAGACACGAGCGCTTCCTGGCGGCCAGTTACTAAACTGCATCTACATGAATAACAGCTGTAGAGAGGGGGATGGAATATTTTATAAATAATCTATTTTATTCTAAATATATTTAGATTAAGCACATTTACCCTCATTTGCATAATCAATGCGAAAAGCTACAACAGCCTTCTTTGGTAAGATAAGACTTCCAAACAACTTGTGATATTAAGGAACATAGGAGCATCAACTCGTATAATTTATGCAGACGAGGACCTTATTTTCATAACGTGATTAAGACCTTATGCAATGATGTCATACCTTGGCGAAAACCAAGGCTAGGTTTTTTTACATCATCTGACCAAGGTGTGACATCATGGAAGTCTAGTTGTTTTGACGCTTGTTATCATATATATTGCCCCGTAAAGAGACAACCTTACGAGTACTTTTATTATTCCGTTTTACGATGATGTCCTTATCATCACGAAACACCGGGCAGTATAAGCCTGCTCAGAGCCCTCAGCGGCGGAACAGATCCCCCAGCTTGTATCCATGGATTTGATAGAGCGGCTTGACGTTCCTTGCAAAGAACATCCCCTGCGCTCACGTTTTCACGTCTACCGAGTTCAGAATGGATGGTTTCCTTTGCCTAGAAGGTTCTTCGGGTCAACGTGTGTGTATGCTTTGTGTGTGCACACGTGCGTGTGTATGTGAATTAACGGCATAACTCGAGAAGATATATAGATAGATCTTTATAAGATTTGCAATTGGTATGTTGATACGGCCGACGTTGGCAAAATAAAGGGCACGATTACGGTCCCCCTAGCGGCTTTCTAAGGTACCTAAGCAGATTTTTCAGTTATCTTTTTGAAAAACAATGTCCCAGATCCATACACATTCCTTTCCGCCAGCTCAACATAATTTGACATGTATGATTCTACAGGAAACTTAAATTATGTTTAGGAGGAGATAATATATCTTTACAGTGTGCAAAATCTTAGATACATTAATGTAGAATGTAGATATTCTAAAACTCGTAGTTTAAACTCCTTATGTTATTGATGCATACATATACTTTGTATGTGGGGTGAATATATTTCTCTTTATCTTTGTAGCTGTAAATGAAAACAACCTTATGAAAGCCCCTGTACTTGATGATGTATACTCTTAGACTATCACTCCATGTAAATTCTGGCACTTGGAGTGTGGTTAAGTCAGGTATCTTCGGTATTAGAAGACGTCTTGGTAGGCTTTGAAATGTGTCATCCAAGAAAGAATAGCACAGCAGGCTGAAATATGAAGATATAGTGTCTCCGCTTCTGGCTTTTTATTTTCATAAATCAACATGTCCCCAAACCCCCGCTTCTAATGGTGTGATGGTGTCAGCTTCAATGAAAATTGCGCGCTTAGCCATTCCTTGTAACTATCTATTTCCGCCACATTTCAAGCCATAAAATTCTGTTCCTGTCGAAATGAAAACAGGCGATATTTCTTCCCTGCCTCCGGTGAACCCTGCATGACTGTACCGTGCGATAAGCCGAGGGTCTCCCGATACCACGCGCATGACAGATGTCTGCGGCTGGCGGCAAACCATAACACTGGAGACCCTGGGCGCTCTGAGTCAACGCACATATTTCTTTCCGCTTGCTCAACAAAACTTCGCAAAGCGCACATATTTCTTCCCGCTTGCTCAATAAACTTCGCAAAACACACATATTTCTTTCCGCTTGTTAAACAAAATTTCGCACAACACACATATTTCTTCCAGCTTGCTCAACAAAACTATGCATATCGTACATATTTCTTTCCGATTGCGCTACAAAACTTCGCACAACAGACATATTTCTTTCCGCTTGCTCTGCAAAACTTTGCACAACACACATATTTCTTTCCGCTTGCTCAACAAAACTTCGCATAACGTACATATTTCTTTCCGCTTGCGCGACAAAACTTCTCACAACGCACATCTTTCTTCCCGCTTGCTCAACAAAGAGACTTTGCACAACACACATATTTCTTTCCGCTGCTCAACAAAACTTCGCACAGCACATTTTTTTTGTATTTGCCTCATTGATTATTCAGTAAGATTGTAATTAGCATAAGAATCATCACAATCCATAAATGCCTTATGAAGTTATGCTGACCGCAAATAGAGACACAAACAGACCAAAAACTATACCTCCATTTTTCATGGAGGTAATAACACTCTACAGGAGAATATGGGACTGACAACATTACAGAAGACCATAACGACAAAAATAAAAACATGAGTCACGTTTTAAGCACTTCGGTTTCCTTTCAAAGACACTAGAGTCGACATCGTGAGACCCTAACCTCCGCAAGGTCTGTAGACTCATCGGCAGGAAGTCTAAAAATGGAATTTCCCTGCGCTGCCTGCCAGTAGGCGTCAGTGATGGATGTGTTTACAGTCTGAGCGAAATGGCGTCCGCAAATCCAGCGCCTCTGTGACGCGTGAGGCCCACTTTGCATCACGGAAATCTCTTACCGACCGTTCAGCGACAAAAATTAGATTTGTATGATCCTTGATTTTATGATTGAAATATGATTGATGATGTCCTTGAAGAGTTTGATTTAAAAGATAAGAAAGCACACGAAACGTAAACATTTTCTCTGTGAAATTCGTTCAGCTATCTCAGTGTCTGTGAACATTTTGATCCTCGCTCAGCGGTTGTAGCCTCTAGTGGTATTTCATGTCACAAAAAAAAATGCTACAAGTAGGTCAGTATGTCCACTTAACATGCGAAAACAGCACGTTTCATCCTAAGATTAGAATGCCATTTTCTTCGTACGTACCACGAGGCGAAGATAAGCCTTCTGTGGTCGCTTCAATTAGCTGAGAGTACCATTAGTGAGATGGCTTCTCTTAGATACGAGCAGGTCTTTTTACTGTGGCTTCCTTCATTGACATCTGAAGGCTCTCTTTCCACAAGAGCGACAGGACAGTGACATGTATACATGTAACGTTACATTTTTGTATAACCAATGATTCAAATTGGAATATTTCTAAGATGTAAAAGTGTGATTCGTACTTGAGTGGTGTTACCGAGGTTGGCTGAAATGCGGAAAGTTTGGCAAGATTTAGACCACGTTTTTCTTTCTATACTGATCGAAGCGAATTGGAGAAAAGACGAGTCAAATTTGACTGCCGACCACACCCCGACCCACTCTCATACATCCAACCTCCCGTCCACACACGAACATTTTGAAACATTCAGATATGGCGTAGCCGAATAGTATTCAACCTCTCTGAACACCAGCCGACCACAGCCGACCTTAAATTGACCTCCACCTACTAACCATGGTTGGGGGGAGTTTGGCAGTGTTTGGGAGGCCATATTCGGCTGTGTGTTCAAACACGATCCTTATATTATTTTTATGGCCAATTTTCCCAATCTTCAATCCCTCTAAATGCTTTATGTCCACTTGAACGCAGTTCATATCTACTATTAGCCACTGTTAAAACAATTCAAGTACAAACGACATCCCGTACTATCAGCTTCTTTCTTCTCTTTTATATGCATATACGTATGTATGTGGCAGGGGATTTAGCGTCTCAGCCTGTACAGTAGAAGGTGGGCGGAAAGATTCATAAAGCTTCACGGGGGAAAGCGGTTCGCTGATCCCGCATCACGCGGCGCCGTAAGTCCCGGGCAATTTCACGGGAGCCTTCCCGGCTTCGTGCGCGTTAAAAACGGGAGTCAAAAAACATGTAAACTGACGTCACTTGGATGACGTATT